ATACCGCGTCGGACGTCTACTTGCAGCCTGCTAACGAAGTTTTATGAAGCGCGATAGCGCCATACCTACGCCGTCCCGTGGACTTTGGCGCTCCTTAATTTGTGAACGCTGCGCGCACACACTGTGTCGGCTGCCGCGAAAGAATGGTATGTCGGCCGACAACGTGATATATCTTCGGTCCTCTGCCCTGCTGCACCTTCGTCCACCACCGCGCGTCCCATACCTATATATACACGGTAGCCGTCGTCTTCGCGCTCTTTACCGGCGATTCCTGACTTGGAAATCCCTTCCAAGGCTGCCTTCGTCATGCGTGAGAACCTTGGTCCTCGATTCCCTCTCTTTCTCTTGCCGGACCTTTATCGAATGATTTGCGCTCTCCCCTTTGTTCTCTGCCATCTTCCTCCAGTTCGTGCCACGTTCTTGCCTCGTGTCGCTTTGTTTGTCGGATCGATGGTAGGATTAATGCGTTGTTAATTGCAGGGGATGTTTCGTACGATGTTTCATACGTCGGTTACGATGGACCGAGTGCTTGGGATGGTCAGTTGTCAGAGATGGGAATAGACTCCAGATCGAATGGTAGATCGGCCTTCGTCAAAGCACGTTAACGAAATTCGTAGGAATTGAATTCACACACGTGGGATCCGCGGTAATCAGCAAGGACCAGCTTAGCCGCTTAAAAGCATCTCGATCGGACGTCCGATCCGCAAGAGACCGTCCGAACACCGTCTCGACGAATGACTTCGGACATTCTTCGCCGATATCGTAATCAAATCTCCGTCTCTGGATTAATTAGTATATGCTGGCGGGGTTTCCGCGGGCTGACCGGTTGCACGACCGGAGCCCCGCCGCCGTTTTTCGTGGATCCCTCGGTGTACCCACAGGGTCGACATGTGTGCACGCCACATGCGCACGAAAACTATGTAGCCGTGGGTATATAGTTGTCTCCTCGTGGGTACTGATTAAGCTGAGCGGAGACTGTGGACGCTGGAAGGCACGGCGAGCGGCACAGAGAAGACCTGTGCAGAGGCAACAGCAGCAGCAACAACAACGGCAGCCAGCTACCGCAGGCTCTGATGTATGCGAGCGATACAGATATCTCCGGGAAGGAATTTGCGTTGAATTAGCGTATAATCGGCGGGCCGATCTGCTCATACGGAATCCCGCGGCCCCGCTTACACGTGTCCCGAGAACTGTATTCTCTGCGCGAACACAATATTTAGTGGCCGTCTCCTCAGCGTGGCCCTTTCCTCCCTTTCGGCTCCCGTGAGACCCTCTCGCTGCCTGGTATGCGGACTCCCTTTAAAATCCGCGCCCGATTCCCGGCCCAAATGTTTGCCTCCGTCGCACCTCGCAAGCCCGCAACTTCGTCAATTCGCTGGCTCGCTGATTAAACCACGCTGCTGCTATCGCCAGCGATCGAGCAACTCCATATTAAGACCGCGCTCGGAAGCTTCGAATTGTTCGTTCGCGACGAATGGTACCTGAATATCGTGTAATTGAATCTTCGTACAAAATGCAGA